TTGAAGCCTTTCCTCGTTCGCCACTTCTTCTAGCTCACTGTCCTCGATCACCCTTTCATCGGGTGTATTATATTCTTCTCCTCAAGCAATTTCCGGCTCAAATTGACAAAGARCAGCCATACTTCCATAGCGAAATTTGGCTGATTCAGCTCCAGCTACCCAACATGTTCCACTATCTGACGTCATCACAGCCCAGGCATCCCAAGCCATCAAATCCGCGATATTCCACAGGGAGCCCAGCTTAAGTCATTTCGCAACTTTGACGGACGATATCACCCCAAAAAACGCATTTCATGGAATTTTCATTTCGATTTTCAAAATCAACAAGGTTTGATGTACATTTTAAGCTATGATGTGTCTGGCACCTCAGAGTCCCTTTAAACATTTTCTCGCTACAGTCCGTACACAGAATGAACTGATGACGTCGTGATGCTAGTGTGTCGTTTGTTACTGGGTTGCTGGTTTCTCTATTCGACAAAATGGAAAAGTTGCGCAATATTACCCATATATGGATTGGATGACGTGTCGATACTTTCATCTGCGAGTTCACATGCAGGCTATTGTGGAATCGAATCGTGCATGTTCTTTGAGAATATGGGGCCAAAATTTTATATCTTTAGCTTTTTATCGGGACATGAGCAATGTCCATCATTACTAGTAAAGTTGGCGACCTTCAATTTCACGCGGGTAGACTTTCATCGCGGAGTTTTACTAGTAAGTCATTTATTCTCATTCGTGTTCACTGATTCAGTGAGATTAAATGCTATAAACGAACATAGAAAGCATCAAAGGTTTGTTCGAGTTTTAATTTTGATTTGAACGAAGACTAAAATAATTTTGTAAGGGCAATCAACAAGCTTCAATGCCACGGCAAACACTTTTAATAACAGTCAACTTTACGCAATGATTTCTTCAATAAAATAATAAACGACAAAAGAAGAACTTGAAAAAATACTAAGGAACAAGAAGAACTTAACTAGGCTTTGATCGATATTAGACCATAAAGGCCGTCTCGGTCAACAACTCGAAGATTTGCTCTAAAAAACAACCAGTGATATACAAACCCGAATAAAGACAAGCTGAATGATATTTCTAAGGAAATTCGTAGAAAGAGTTGGCTTATTTGAGTGAGCAAATGAATATTTTATGAGTGAAATACTGATATCTTCTTCCATCGGGTTCATTTTACAGCGGGCAAGATTGTCGGGTCGTGGCAAGCATGCATAACGCAACACTGTTTATTTGCGCTTCACGGCTTGATTGATATCAAATCGGTCAAACCAGAAGCTTAACTCGGAGCTTTGACGTCCAGAATAAAATAAGTAAATGAATTTGTAGAAAAGCTCTCTTATTTCGGCGAGTAAATAAAAATGTTCTGAGTGAAATACAATCACTAAGTGCTGAGTCAATTTTTCCTCTAAAGATAGGTATTACGAAGTATTACGAAGTGTTTTCAAATAATGAAATAAAAAAGGAGGGACGACTTCGTTTTTACATGCACGGAGACTACAGACGTTAATTTTTATGAGATTTTGCTTATCAAAACATTGGAATGACGTCACTTTTATTTTGCTTGACTTTCAGCTGAAGCGCTCTTAGAGCGTCTTGTTTATTAAATGGCCTGGCCAGAGAGCCTGGGCTATATTGACCGATCACTACGTGACATCATTATAAAAGTAAAGGGAGGAACGATGGTTTCCACATTTGGTGGACACTGCAATGAAGCAAACACTAAGTAGGTCAGTCGTAATCAAGGAACACAGTGGTAATTTGGAGCTCGAAAAAAGTCTACCCTTGTGGAAACTGAACTCAACTGCTAATTCTGTCGTTTTGCTTAGAAGAGTTACGCAAAAGGTACGTAAAAGTAGGAAATACCTTGTACAAAACTAGAAACACTACATTTTGAAAGAGATTATTCCAAAATTTCAATCGGCAATTTGTTTTCGTAAGAACATTTTGCGAGAAAAAGAAAAGGTTGAAAGTTATCCGAATGTTACATGTACGCGTGAATGTATTTATTGCTAAAAAATAATTTTTACAGACAAATACAAAAAGTTAAAAGAAATAACATTTTTGACTAGCCTTCGTTAGCAGTGACCTTCAAAACCTAGACAGTTCTCAGCACGTCTCGCGATATCCGACTTAAAGTTAAGATATATTTATGACGAAATCCAGTTTTTTCTTTCCAGAATAACCGAACAATCAACCTTAAACTTTGTACGTGTATTTCTTCAAAATAGTAGAATGCAGCCTTATATAGCTTTACATCTAGTAAAAATTATTAGTTTGAAACTAGAAAGCTTGAAAGACTAAACTAGATAATCAGGTTTTGTCGATTTTTTCTCAATAGCCACTAGCTTAATTCTTCGTTCAGCAATTTAAAACCAGCTCGACTGGCTTTACAAGGGGTCCATTCTCAATAGCCACTTAAATTTTGTCTTCGTTCAGCAATTTATAACCAGCTCGACTGGCTTTACAAGAATTAACTACACGAATTCATTCAGGTTTTCAAAAATAGAATATTGGGCCGAGATTGTTCGACTAGCTAGTTACAAACATATACTAGAAACCGGCAGAAACTTCAGCACTTTCAGCTTTTTTAAGTTAGCGTGACCACGATCGTGACCGTACCTTGACGACCTATCAAAACTTCTGATCGGTCCAATGACATCATTACAACTGCGCAATAACATATATCTCGTTCAAATTTTGTTTTCTGAATAAAATACTGCTACTTTTATGGTTAAATCGACCTTATTATTGTCTTGACTGTCTTTTGCAAACGCAAATATGACATGCACACTGATTTATAAATACAAAGGGAAGAAGATAGGCATGACAAAAACCGGAAAAAAGAAACTACGAAAATAAATATATTTGCTCTAACTCGTCTACAGCGCAGATCAAGAAGAATCGATTAGAAGCAAATTTAAAGGCATCGCACTTTAGGAGCTGAAAAAGAATGATTCAAATCAAATTTCTTTCACTTGCACAGAATGGTTCTCCTGTAAGTAAAGGGACAAAAGAAGACACTGTGAATGATGATAAAATGGCTGGCTTTGCTACTGTGAGCTTTGGCCCATAAACAGGACTTAAAAATCAGTCACATAAAAGCTAAAAAATAAAAAATATCGTAATAGAATCCCACGATACATTGGGGTACCTGTTTATGAGGGCTCTTTTATTAGGCATTTTAAACAAAGTTCAAAGCATTTTATTAAAAAAGAATAGCTAAGCCAGCAAGAAGAGTGAGCAAGAAAGCCATGTAACGGAATATAGTGTACAAAACATTTTCTTGTACTAGCCTGAATGTAGGCCAAGGTGAGATTTGATTTCTATTTGGTTCTGTTTTAGATAGTATATTTGATCATAATTGATGCCAAACTGCGTTGAATTCTCTCTCGATCAAAGTCACTTGTTTCCAGATATCAATGTCACGTAATTCTGAAGAAACACATTCTAATACCGTCTCTTATATATTTAAAATTATGGGGAATCCCCTAACCTGCTAACTAGTCATGTCATTAGTGCGTAATGTTAAATTGTAATGCGCAATAAGCTAACGAGAGTGCTGAACATCGAATTAAATAGAACTTCAAGATGTAGTGATTTATAACAGTTTTCTTAGGGTGCTATATTTTAAAAGTATATTTAACTTCGATAATGTCATCATTTTTGCTGCTACGTCGTAGATTAATTACAGATTACAACGGTCTTGAAAGGAGAAGCTTAGTTATCAAATATCTTGATGAAAATAACGCAACCTTTAAGCATGAACGGAACATGTTTAAAACAAAACTTAAAGTTGTAATTGTATTTTTCAAGATATTTTACTTATATTTTCCGCTGAATTGTTTATTCATCAAAATGTTTATGAGTCATGACTTAGCGCGTGGTTGCAGGTATTCAAAATCTGCACGTACAGACTTCTAATTTCATAATGAAGTTGTCACTATTAATACCACCAAGGTTGGCAAATGTTTGTGTGTGGTTAGCTGTAAGATAATGATTCCTGCCCATGTTCATTGTCATTTCTCATAGGAAATCAGTAAGTACTTCCAAATTGATCTAAAGTCCATTGACAAAGCAGATGATGCGAGTCAGCACGAAGCGACTGAGATGCCCTTCAAGACTTTTGTCAACAGTTTTCCTCTTCAATCCAAGGTCATATTTAAATTTTTCTATATCGAGCCTATTTGCATTTTCCTCTTCCTGTTTTATTAATCTTTATGCCAAATTATTAATCTCTAGACCATAATCCTTTTCACACTGCTTTTGCCCTCAGCTGCCTGCATTATACCTACGAATGCTGCGTGCCGAAGTGATTATCTAGTATAATTATTGTTCTTATCAAAATCCAATTGTTTTCTTTCTAGCTTGTTTATCATAGAAACAAAGCCAATAATGAATGTCTGATTTTCCTCTATGCATTCGTTGGGATAATGCAGACTGAAAACAATGGATTTTGATAAGATCAGTAATTATAATATTATATTACACCCAAGGTAAAAAGATCTAGTAACACGTCAGGAAAAAGACACCGCTCTACGCACGACAAACAGGGCGCTAGCTAATTTGACTGCGCATGTCCACGTTTATGTAAAGAGTGAGCAATATGGCTGCTCTGTTCAACCTATTATAAACAAACGTTTTTCTTTGCACTAATATGCTTCTAGGTAAAATGTTTTTCTTCAGGATATATGTTAAGGACTACTTTTATATCGACGCGAATTTAGAAGAAAAAAGCTTAATGCAAAAGTGAGTTATCCCAGGTTGTCTGAAGACGTTTGTACGAACGCTTTGTATTTGCCTAATTTTGATATCATATTTATTTATTTGGCGAAGATATAAATGAAATCGACGCTTTGTAACAACAGCTATAGAATGTCAAAATCTGCAATTTGATGTTATTCCCATTCAGATATTTTCAAAACACTTATCGACACCCACCTGTTGATTCACATTAGGATGATGTGCTACGCTTGCCGTCTAGGTGTATAGGAATCGATTTGTTTTAAAAATTGAGGAACCTTGATTTTTATTCTCATTTAGATACTATGCAATCATTCATGTACTATACACGAACTTGAATGTTCTATTGTTACAACTTATATTATATTCTTATATAATATTTCTTTATATTCTTTGAATTTAGTCATCATAAGCTTACCGAAAATCGAAAATTTTGCAATCGGAATGATTTCAGTGATTAATATCTCATTGTAAACATTCCTAATTATTTCAAATGTGCAAATCAGATAAATGTACAACATTTCAGTAGTTTTCGCAAAATCAAGTTTCGACACCCAACACCTTCCAGCTGATTATACGAACTTAGGTAATGTATATTATAAATGTACTATCGAAATCGTTTTCAAAATTGGGGACCGTTTCTTAACTTTGTGTTTTGGTGAAGAAAAATGTAATATTTACAACACAGGAAGCCCAATAATAAACGCTCAGAATTTGAAATTCTGATAATAAATAAATAAAATCTAATAAAAACCTTCAGCTGTCTTTTTAAAGTTGTTTATGATTTTTCGAAGAACTTTGCGCTTTTTTTAGCTTCAATTTAGTACTTTTTATGGCACATTGTATGTGGCTATGTTATACGGTTCAGCGGATTAAGCGCATGCCACATGCAAATTAGTGCCCTGTTCGCACGACGTAAAATAGACTTTGTTTTCATATTGATAAGCAATGGCTCAATTACTAGAATGAAATAGAGGGAAAAGTAGGAGAATGAGTGCTTTTTCTTCCCACATGCTCCCCGGTACCCCTGCTACTTAGGTTATCATAACTGAAGTGAACTACAACACACACCTCTTCTATAACTTTATTCTTGCGGGCCAAACTTGGAAGACCTTTAAGACCCTGAAAAGATATTTAGAAAACCTTCATTCATGAAACTTCGACAAACGCTTGCAATTGGTCAACCTGTTAGTTAATTAAATGGAAACCATCGAAGGCACAAAAGAAAGTGGCCGTACTAACAGGGTGCCCGGAGTAGACAGTTTACAAATAGGGTACTACCACCCCAACTTGGGTAGGGGTGTGCCGCCAGGACCTCAAAACCCTGACCCTATCCCAGACCTAAAATTTTGATTTTACATACCCTAMMCCAGACTAAAACTAAGAATTGTACACCCTATCCCAGACTAAATGACGGAAATGACGGTTAGTCAATAGATTGCAATTAATATTTACTAACGTTTTTCTTTATTCTTATTCGCCAGACAAAAACGACCAAATCGTTAACCCTATCCCAGACAAAAATGATACCCTATCCCAGACAAAATGTCAAAAAATGATACCCTACCCCAGACCCAAAAGCCGAAAAACCATACCCTATAGGGCGACACATACCCGTATAGCAAATATAGAGGAATACTGAATACTCACCTTTTTAACCTCTTCTTTTTGGCCGCTTTTCTTGGAAGAGCTTTAAATCACTGAAAAGAAAAGGAGAAAACCTTCATTCAAGAAAGAAATTTCAGAGGTAACTTTAGCCTTGTGCTACAACGAAGTTATGCCGGGCACCCAAATTGTGGCCAACAAGAAAAGTCATATGAACAGAGAAGCTTTTCACGTATCAGTAATCATGCTTAATAAGCAATGGATATTGTACCTTGCTTGATCGCGTGATTATCATCAGTTATGATGACCACTCATAGTTAGAGTGAAACACAACGAGAAAAACAACGAGAAAAACAACGAGAAGCCTATTATAGATATATAACACCATGGTCCCAGCGAAAATACAAAAAGTACCAAGGCCGGATAAATAGTCACGCATTTTAAAAACTCACTGGCTTTTATACTACTGCTCTTGGCACTAGTTTAGTTTAGCTTTAACGTATGTGCTGACACTGCGAATGCGAGTCGAGTTGGAAAGTCCCCAATATTGTTTAGAAAAGAACACTATAATTAGTAATGTTTTGGGATAGAGTGCACGCACTAAACCCGTGAAACAAATACTAATTTTTAGTACTAAATAAGGATAATCAAACAATAGGAAACAAAGAATTCTGTATGAATTACTACTAATTAGTACTGAATATTATTCACGGGTTTAGAGCGTGCACTCCATCAATTCCTTAAAATAAAATAAAATAATAAACTAAATAAGAACAATGATAGAGTACAAACACTACCAGTGTGTAACATAAATACCACTAAATACTGCTAAATTACGCTAATCCTAATGTTTTCTATTGTTTAATTAGCACTATTTACTTCTAAATAGCGCAAAGTGTTGCACACTTTTAGTGCAACATTATCTACCATTTAATATACAGTTACAACGACCTGATTTCACGTGCAAGGCACATGAGCTAAAACATGATCATGAGACTAGTATCACAGGCGAAGCCAATTACTTTCAATTGTGGGGTCATGCATGTACAGTAAACCTATTGTATCCTTTTTTAGCTTCGTTTTATCTTATAACTTGGGGTCTTAAGTTGTTGTTTATTTAATTACGTAAACTGTGGCCATTACCTGCAGAAAGAAACCAATTTGCCAGCTTAAGGAAACGGCACAGACAAAGTCTCACGAGTCTCACATATCGTAAGCAGAAGAGCATTCTCAAACTGATAACGGTGAAAGAAAACAGACCAAACAATCCATCCATACATGTCCAAAATAGACGAGCTGATACGGACGGTAAAAGTACAGATGATGAAAGTAATTTATATGCAAAATTCACGAATTAATTATCAAACTCATTAAAATCAAACACACCCGTTGATAAGTAGAATTGGTCACCCTTTGGTAAAGCGCGCGTCTTCATAATAATAGAATTGGTCACCCTTTGGTAAACATGAATATTTATCAGATGCAATCACTGAACACATCCCACTTTGGTTTACCGATGGTACCGATGGTACCGATGGTACTAATTCTTTGCCAATATTATGTCATAATAACTTTGGTCGAATTCCTTACTAATTCATTAGCATCCTGAGCAACAATACTTATAAGACGGATCTATCCATCGATCTCATGTACTTTGATTTCATCTACGTAATTCAATAAAGTAAAATGTAACTATGATTAATGAAATCCATATATAATATATATATATATTTAACATTAACAGTTTTTCTTTGCATAACTAATAGTAACATCTTTGCAACAGGGTGTATAGTCACTTTTTTATTTTCAATTATTAAATTTTAAACTATATCATTATCATTTATGAATGTCAGTAGTTTAAACTTAGGGAAATATGGATATAGAATTGTACCCCCAAGCTATTTTGCCAAAAGTTAAAAGTGAAATGGGTGTATTGACCATGTCACTCCCATTGAGCAGATCATCTGACTTGATCAATACACCCAAACTTACACTCAAGGACCTTTTACCTCCAAAGAAAACATGCAGTCTCAGAAAGAGAAATCATGAATTTTTACTACCTAAAGTTAAACCGTAACATTTATGAATTGTTTTGTAAATAGGTGTCTTTTCAAAAAGGTGCATGCAATTGTTCTTTGAGAATATAGTTTTCTGTTTTGTAAAAATTCTGCATTGTGCACTTTATAACATTCATGCTGCTTCAAGATCTTGATG